CACCTAGAACGCTAGAGAAGTACAACGCCATCTATTGTCAGATAGCGGAAACACAATACTCGAAATGTGCGGAATATTCTCGATAATTCTAGGAATGTGGTATCGGCTATAAAAGCGTTGCAGAGATGGAACGCAGTCAGTTAGTAATCGGAACTACTCGAAGGGAAACGGCGAACGGATTGCCTTAAGCGAAGCGGAAGAAGCGAATGGAGAATTTTAAAGTGTTTGTGAGTGTTTTAAGTGCTAATACAGTGTTAACTTGTAATTCGGTAGAATTTTTATTTATCCCGAACCCCAGCGCGTAACTGTATTAAGTGCTACTTCACTTTTTAGTGATGTATTTTTTTTCCACATACTCCTAACAGCCAACGATTACACTGCATCTGTAACATCCAATTGATTAGTAAATTTTAATGTAGATAGTACTATTAAGGTAAATAATATTTGAAGGAAGATTTAAAGAAGATAAAAGACAACGTAAAAAAATAAACTGAAAAAATAAAATGGAACACCAGGTTGAAGTATATAAATTGTAGCGGGGTGATTGGCATTGAGAAATGATCTCAACTCACCGGTCGACCAATGAATCAAGATACGGATACTTTTCAGCAAAAAAGCACTCCTTCACATATCGAGACGGAAATATTTTTCGAATCTCAGAAATTGCCCCGGAGACCCGGGGAGTATCTTTTGCGATTTATATTGGGTATAAATTATTTTATTTATATGTACATACATCTTCGTGAATAGTAATAACGTGCAAAAAATGAAAAACTGTGTTAATCAATAAGTATTTGAAATATAAATTTTTATATTGTTATACTATGAAAGTGTTCCTTTATTCTTAGTAAGTCATATGTCTTTATGACGAAGCTTACCATGAAGGTTATATTAGTAAACATAATCTCAGAGAATAAATATTTAATTTTAATCACAAAATGGATTTTTTTATATGCATAGAGAATAAATAATTTAGAAGTTGGATCTGAATATGTTTTTATGTTTTTAGGGTATGGTTATGTTTTTACGTTTTTATGTTTCCTTGTCGTATCCATCAGATTTATACAGATCGTTCACATAAAACCGATATACAAGCAAAGCAATAAAGAAATCTGTTCAAATATTCAAGAAGGTGAGAACACAATTTGCATAGTTCTTTCATTGGATCACGTTTTATTGGGTTCAGGCAATCGATGCAAGTAAAATGTTTATGCATGAGTGATGCAGTTAACTTTGATTTAAATTCAAAAGTCCAGAATATTCTGGAACTAGCATTTGAAATTTAGATCTTGTCCTAGTTTGGTAGAAGATTGTCTAAGACGTTTGTTTTGTATTCAGAAAAAAGTGACCTCAAGGGTTGGCTGGATCGATTAAGCTTTAATTTGACGAGACGCTCAATTTGAGTGTTTATGTAAGTACAGCAATTGCTTGTGAATATAATTTGACTCGTGGATACCGCACTGTTTTCTTCGAAGCAGCTTGCGTTCTGGCTGGAATGCCTCCTGGGACCTGGAGATGGAGGCATTCACCGCTTATTATGCGTGGTCTACAGACTATTGAGGCAGTGCACCCGGTCCTCAGGGACTGGGTGAACCGTGATCGAGACCTTCTCACCTTCCGGTTGACGCAATACCTCACCGGCAATGAGTGTATCGGTCGGTACCTATGCCGCATCGCCCCAAGGGAACCATGATGGAGTGCTATCGCTGTGATTGCGAAAAGGATATGGGGAAGTATTTTTGTCGTGTAAATAGGACCGATTTAGTCGCTGCCAACCGTCGTAGTTACGATGCCGGGTAGCAAATTGCCCAAGGTAAAAACTTAGATTTGCACAAAAAATTCTAAATCAAACTAAATGTAGCACGTTTGTAGCTTTCTAGTTTTCAACCTTAATCATTTCCTAAACCTTTCTTAGGTCATTTAAAATAGACCTCTTAACACAATCTCCTAGAGTCAGTTTATTTTCTTAACCCTCAGCAACGGTATTCGTCGGACCCTCTATAAAAGCCTCAACACAAACATCTTGAGAGGGGATTAGGCTTTCACATACAGTTAAATGTCTGCCACATAATCCAACCATCTTCACTTGACCTACTTATTTTGTATCGTAATACTGATTTTATGATATATTTTGTTAATTTATTTAAGTAAAGTAAATTAAAGTAAGTAATGAAATTACGTTGGTGATAAATACAATCCAAAATTGTGTTTTAGATTAATGCGCAAAGTAAGTAGCTCATGGTAGTATTTTTATATATATTTTTCGAAAATCATTGAACTTGTCGCTACAAAAAAAATGATTTCTTAGTTTCTTTCAGTAACCCCCCGCTGAAGGTCAAGGGGCGACCTGAGGGGGCAGAGGCCGTGCGGCGCGCTACCACCCCTCTAGCGCGCCGCCAAGAAGAAAAATCCTTGAGATTAAAAAGAGCAACCGGTTGGCAGTGTATCGCGTCCCGACCCGGCAGGCTGGTTCTGGTCCAGCGGGTTATTCCGGGACACCAGTGGCACCGTATGGGCGGCCTGACGGGCTGTCGTATCGAGACAGCTGACGTTTCAGAGTCTTCGATTCACCTCAAAGGCTCCGTCGGCCGGGCGTCCTTGGGGTGAGCTGCGCCGTCTGGTTGTAGTGCTGACCGCGGTAACCCCCTTACCTCATCCGGGTTCTGACCTTGGAGGGACGCTTGGGCGAAGAGTGCAGGGGAGTCGTTTAGTGGGTAGGGCCCTGAAAACATCCTTGGGGTCGCGGTCTCGCAGTCGCGGATCAGTCCCAAACCTTGTACGAGGCTTGGACCCGGCCCGGAAAAAAAACTCATAAAAAAAATCAATTTAACTGTTTTTTAATTTTTAAGTAAACTACTACTAATTGAATAAGAACTGTCTGATGAACTCATCTTTGTTTAATACTTCACTATTAAATTTTATTGCCTTTTGTTTATTTCACTTTTACACTAAACACAATATTGCAAATTACCCGAGCACAACAATGGCGGAGAATTTTAGGTGCGTGAGAGCAGACGTAGACACTAACGCGGATGTGCACTTGTACCCAGGGAGAAAAAGTTACACTTTCTTCCCTGTACAGCGGGACGAAAACCGAACTTTCGGCGTAGGTAGGAGAAAAAAGTTTCTTTCAGTAAGTAGCATAGAACCGAAATATTGCTTATTTATAAAAAAAGGAGGTAGTAATTAATATTCATTAAATTTAAAAATTAAAAATTAGCAAGTTAATAGAAACTTTTCAATAGAAAAGGCAGCGTAGATAATGGTAATCATGATATGAATACCGCCAAAATGAAGATTTAAGGTTGAATTCACAATCGCTTAGGTACAAGGATTGTCCCGTCCTTCAAACTGGAATGAAGGATTTTGTCGTGCGCAGTTATAGGTAGGAAGGATTTTCCTAGCAAAAAGGTATACCGCCATTATGAACGATAAAAAAGTAGTAGCAGATTCAGGTGACCTAGATATCCAAACCCATATCTTTTGAACAACTGCTAGAGATACTATAAGTATATTATTGTTAAGATCCCTAACACTCATTGCACTTTGGAACGATTATATCACGTAAAGTGATTTTCCAATGTCTTTGCATAGAGTAAAAATGTGTTTTTTTTGGAGGACATTCATAAAGTCGTTGCCCTTTAATTGCCGGTCCCCATCGGAGTCGCTTGGCAAGCTGAGTTCTCAAGCTCGCTCACTCATCCTTATGAAGTCCTAAGGAGATGCTAATAGCTATAACATATTATATTGAACTTGACTATGTCCTCGCAATTACCAGCCTCCATGGGCTACGATAGACATTAACTATCAGGGATTGCTATTCTGCCAAAAATGATTATCTTTTAGGTTCGTAATGCAAAACAGATGATTTAAAAAAAAAAGATGTGTGGTGTCGTGGGACACCGGATAGGAACGAAGTTCCTTATTATAAAAATATTAATTTTTTGAAGTTCTATTTGAGGTATAAAAAAAAATATTATTCAGGTATAATTTTTTTAGATTTTTTTATTGACAAAAAAAAACTACTTTACAAAGTTATCAACTTTATTTTATTCACAATGATTTATAAAATAATAATAATAATAATATACAAAGAAACAGCTATTTATATGAATAATAATAACCGTCATCACGTAGACTATACATTAGACACTGTATAGCCATCATACTAAGACTATACATAAATAATAAAAATCTTACGTTACGGACGTTTTTTCCCGGTTTTTTTTTTTTACCCCTCCGCATCGTCCCACAAGGAGCTTCGTTCCAAAAAAAAAAAGCAGTGCAATTTCACATCCTTCAATTCTGATTTTTTGTTGTTTAATTAGAAGAATAGGAAAGCGGAATTGTAACAAATTTTACAAGCGCTACTAGGGATTTCTACGGCTTCAACGTACAGAAAAATGAATATTTGTGTTACCACAGGGAAAGTTTCCGGATGGTATCATCAAAGTACCACCTGCGTCGAGCCCTCCGCACGGGAATAGTTTCAATAAATGTACATATTTTATGAAATATTTTGCGACAGTTGCTGCGAAGCGAAGGAAGATTACATTAGTTTCCTACGAAAAAGGAAGAAAACAGAAAAATTGCCGACCACAATAGAGAAAAGATTGCAATGAAAATTACTGAGTTTTTTTTTATTGCCTTTGCAGGCAGACGAGCATACGACCCACCTGATGGTAAGTGGTTACCATCGCCCATGGCCGGGGCCGCCGTTGTAACTATACTGAGACTTTACAACTTATATCTCAAGGTGGGTGGCACATTTACGTTGTAAATGTCTATGGGCTCCAGTAACCACTTAACACCGGGTGGGCTGTGAGCTCGTTTACCCATCTAAGCAACAACAAAAAAAGACTTCAGTAATGCCAGGGGCAGAGCCGAGCCGCTGCCTACTGCTTAATACTCTCCACAAGCGTCGTTTGAAAAAGGATATGTCATAGCGCTCGGGAAACACCGTGGAGGGGAGCTCATTCCAAAGCCGGATGGAACGAGATATATACATATACTTACTGTGGTGAGAAATGCAACTTTTGCTCGTGAATCATTTATTGTTTATGACTTGTGGTTGTTACTTTTGCATCGAGTTCAGTTTAAGAAATCTTTAAAATTGTAGCTATTTCTAGTAAATAAGTCGATTTATCGTTGGAGTTTGAAAAGTACAATTGTTGCGACTTCTTTTTCTTTGTTCCTAAGGTTACTAAGCTTGAATAATCAAGCTTCAACCAAAACCTTCAGATCTATTTCAATCAAACATTATGTTGAAAAACTATTTTATTAAATTTACATTAATTCACAATCAAGTGTATCTCATACAGAATGAGTTTCTACTAAGGCGTTTCGATTTGCGGGACACGCTCGTATTGAATAAAATTTCAAAGAAATATCAAAGTTTCGTATTTGCTATACGTTGTGATTGTACAAAGCTGGAAATCTGATAAATATGCTAATAAGCCACACAAATATGGTACAGTAAAAAGTCCCTACACACATTTTTCATGGCCGTCTGTCTGGGTTGTGTTTATACAAAAAATAGAGGCCAAATTGATTTTTTTTTCACGAAATGTTTTTCGTATCTAGGCAATTTTTACAGTTTTACGTATAATAGTTTTACTAAACGCTTAAAACATGCTTTGATGGAAGATCAGTAATAAAATAATAAAATTAATAAATAAATTCTTCACTTTCGCATAATGCGGTTCAATTAAGCAAATAGCCTCGACCTAATCGAGAGTTAAATTAAATATATTTCAATTAACTTGCGTTCGATAGTAGCTTTAACTTTAACTATATATCACTGAAATTTTCCAAAAGCTACATAATTCGCTATTTAAAAATATTTAAACTTTTAAATTGCAAGAAAACGTAAAAAATGTAATATACACAACATCTTAAGTTTAATTTTCATCCTTATAGTTAAAAATCAAGATGATTCAAAAATCTCTGAAGTTTTACGGTTCTTCCATTCGCTAGGATTTATTAGAATGTTCATTTCACTATTTCCGTACGTGTTCTATTGTTGTAGTTCGTTTATGAATTAACATGATTACGTGTTGAGTTTCGGTTTGAAGAGTCGAACAATTGATACATAGACCTCATGTCGTATGAGGGGGGAGGGGGGCAGGAGTCATTCACGTTGTGGGTCCCAGTAGCGTTGATGAGTTCACATACCAATTAAAAATAATAAAGAATAGCAAAAATCTAGATATTGATTTTTTAAGTGAAAATCAATAAATTTTCACCTGAATATTTGAATGTGAAACCGTTAAATGATATTGTTTCATTCACACGAACGTAATTTTGAATTTTGTCCTTTTGTACACTTCTTTCTTCCTTTAAATGGCTTTAATTACATTTTAATAAATTAATTAACACATCAAACTACTTAAATCATTAATTCCATTTCCCTAACACTACTTTTTTTTAATGTCATTAAAAACGAAATTGAAAGGTCCTGTGAAGTAGTTGATTGAAGTCTGGATTATTTTAGGAGGTGGCCCGTACCACTCTACCCGGAAGTTCTCTAAGATCTTAGTCAGGAATGTTTCAATTTCCAATTCGGCGATGCGTCGACCTGGAAATTATAGTGCAATTATGGTTATTAGTCGGGTTAGGAATTCGAATCAAAATGATTTAATCAAATGCGGCATCATGTGTTTAGTTAAATTCATATTTATATTTTATCCTACCAATTTTTTTAATAAAATTCAGAAATTTATTAATGAATATTTTTGTAGTCCTTGATTTATGTCTATTTCAGTGGCTTTCGTGGATAGACCAGTTTATGGCTATACTGAAATTTAAAGAGACATTAGAGCCCATATACATCAGAACATGTTCTACACCACACACATTCGGGAACGAAAGAAGGAACTTACGGGTATTCTACTTATGGAATCACGAATTTTTTTGCTTTTTTTAACAGCCAAGCTAATTAAAAATCAGTCTAAAAAACGTTTATCAGATCTTTAGTATCTTAATAGAACGTTCAGGGTGGCATAGATTCCTACTAGCAAAAGCGGTTGTGTTTCTATGTGTACAATTCGTTTTGCTGTTGAGTCTTCTTCTCATAAGTGAACGGTGTTCCCTAGTCCGAATCCGAATTCGAATCTGAATTCGAATCAAAATCTTTGTTTATGATATGGACATTCAGGTTTAGATGTAAGTAATTTTATATTTTCAGCAGTCTAAGCCCCTAGCAAGAGCTGTGGTTCACTGAACCTGCCACCCGATTGGCGTCACCGCCCACTGAGAAATTCAGTGGGTTATGCCCATAGAAAAAGTTTATGATCTATAATTACCTATACAACTCCGGACACCGAAGCCGAATGGTGCCATTACAAAAGGGTGCGCTTTTCCGTAGTAAAGCGGGTCATTTTTTTCTGCCAACCAGCGCTCTGGAATGAACTCTGTGGGTCTTGGATAATGTTCTTCCATCAATGATAAATCTTGATGAGCAAAAGCCACGTCGATCTAAACATTTAAAGTATTATTAGATTCCAATCTATAGAATATTATAGCATCTAGTTTTAACTAACCGACGAAACATGCGGTGACTTTGCTAATACTCGTAGCTTTACCGTTAATCCTCATTTAAATTCACAGTCAACGACACAATTAATCGAAAGAGATAATAAAACAAAACATTAAAGAACCCCATACTAGGGTTTCTACTCTGTTATTGGTACCTGAAATGTGGGTAAGTGATATGAACACGTACTACATCCAGATCTAAGAATACTAAATATCTTACAGAAATATAGGGATTGACCCTGACTGGGATTGAAGGTAAGCTTTATAGCACAGGCCATCGTCAAATCCTTCATTCATTACATTCAGGACGTGCTCCGCGATTTCACCCAAAAATTGTAAATCAGTAATAATAAAATACGTTGAATTATCCCGGGATAACAGTACCTTAGTCATTTTCTACTTTAGTAACTATCAGTCGATTTGTAGGTTCGTTTGTACATAAAATTTAAAATAAGCGTAGAGATTCGTATTTATTTCATGACGTTACCAGGGACGTGTCCTTTACTACATAATTTCACAAATTACTCATATATATGCAAAGAAATTATAAGAATTATGTTTACCCCTTTCGGTACATGATATCCGAGTATGTTGTATTCTTTTGTAGTGCGTCGAAGGTTTCCTGATACAACGGGCATCATTCTCATTGTCTCCTTGATGCACGCTTTCAAATATCTTTTACTTTCTTTCGACATCACTTCTTCCCTCAGCTTCTCCTGTTTTTCTGGATTCTTCGCGAAGAGATATAAGGTTGCAGCAATACTGTTTGCAACCTAAAATTATAAATATTTGTATTAAGGTACATGAAAAACCCAAGTAAAATTGATCAACATTTTAAACACTCAAAGAGGTCGAGTTGGTTGAAACATGACAGTTCGGTCCAATTATAAAAAAAAAACATGGTTCCAATTGAGTAGAAAGTCCACTTGGTGTGCTCTCTAAAGCGTTTATTGGTAAATGCCAGACGCGGAGCATTGACGATAGTTAAGTTACTATTACAGAAACTGAACTCACTGTATCGACTCCAGCGACAAGCATATCTGTAGCCATGATATAAGCGTATTCTTCGTTGATGTCAAGTAGTTTTTCTAGTACACCTTTTTGTTCGTCAGGTTTATCCTCGTTTTTGTTAATGTTTCTCATAGCTTTATTAATGAAATATTTGCTTAGACTGCAACAGATGATTGAAGACGTAATATTATGCGATGATTGATTCAACTATTTCAACAAACAAACAAGAAACACATTTTTTCGACATTATATTTCAAGGATTTAAGAAACTCACTAATTTTCAGTTGAGTTGTTTTTCTTATCTTGATGCATTTGAAGAAATAAGTTAACAATTCATTTGGTGTTTAATTATAAAGAGAATTCATTTAAGCTACAAAATGAAAACCATCGCCCATCTCGACAGAGTAAAGTAGAAATTCTATTGTAATAACGACTGCCCTTTACAAGGCATCCAGAACAAAATATATTCTTGCAAAGGCTTTGCAGCCAAAATACACAAATCGCCAGCATAATAAGTTTACAGATTCTGTTTAATAATATGTTAAATCGAAATTCGAGAACGTCTTTTGATATTAAACAGATTCAGATAGGTTTAAGGACCTCATCTGTGTTCAATCGTTTCTGTCAAAAAATAATAGAGATTCAGAAATTCGTGGCTCTGGCAGCACTTTTCGATTCAGTCTCCCCACTAAAATATGGCAAAATTTATTAAGTTGCATATATTAGTTTTTCAATACTATGTATAAATAGTTGAGTGATATTACAAGGCGGTGATTTAAAGTGTCAACATATTTTTTCAGTGAAAACTTCGGCGTCATTCTTCAAGGTACCTATGGACTCTGGTTTTAGACCAGATATACCGTAAATTGATATGAAAGATCGTTTCGTTGAATCCGATCAAATAAATCTTATTCTTGACATTTGCGCGGGAACAAAATGACATTTAATATCAATAAACTTACTTACTCTTCCTGTAACTGAAACATCTTCATTGCCTTCTTATATGTTGGAGTTGAAAATATATGCCACAAGCTTGGCTGGAAATCTAATTGATTAGATAAATTGAAGATCTGGTGAACGCATTCGATCAACTTCTTTTCCGGTGAGTTTTCAGCCAAATTTGGATCGAAGCAGTTCAGTCTGATTCCGAAAGCTACAACTCCGATTGACTCAAGTGCCCAGAGATTCATTTCATCGTCGAATTTAGCCTGAAGACGATTGTTTTCATCTAATTTTGATTTCATTCTAAAAAAATAAATAAGATAAAAAAATCTTTATGAATTACAAGAATGAAAACTTGTTTTGTAACTAACGCTTTTGTATTTCGAAGGCTTACTTAGTTAATAGGCTCTTCAACCATTACTTTGTATGTATCGAAATCCAAAATGTTATTATTTGAAATATATTACCTATTCATCATCTCTTGAGCAACTTCATCGATAGCCGCGCTGTACAGTTTTATGGTTTTTGGCTGCAACAGTACTGGATTTACTGTTGAACGTAAATCCCACCACTCTTCACCCTGACTGTAATAATGATACTGTATTGTAGATGACTAGCGACCCGCCCTCGCTTCGCTTCGAAAACTGTAATTTATTATTGATTTCTCCACTATTTAATATATGTTATTATACATATTAACCTTTCTCTTCAATCACTTTATCTATTAAAAAAACCGCATCAAAATCCGTTGTGTAGTTTTAAGGATATAAGCAAAAATAGGGATATAGGGACAGAGAAAGCCACTTTGTTTTATACTATGTAGTGATAATACAATGGTCGTTGCAATACTACAGTACTGGTATTGTAGTGGATGTGATCACAAGTCAGGCTATGCTTAAAATCCCTTTTGCATTTAGGACACCAAGCTGCCACTTTTTCTGGTATGTCTAGATTTACTAAATCATAGTATTGGTAGTGATTTGTTCACGAACAACCTCTACGACGAAGGAATATCGTCTAATAAAATCATACATGGAAATTTTTTAAATGCCCGATTGTAAAATTATAGGGCATACGGCTGGATCGTATGGACCCGTATTGTTTCTTCATCTCATGCACTCCGCTGTGAAGCGTAAAATAGTTTTTATCCTCCCAGATTATTCCTATAAAATAGTTCTTTGAGACTCTTATTTAAGGTGGGAAGCGGCTTTTACGTTCCCCTTATCTATTGACTCCTGTCTCTGTGGATGTACGTAAAAAGGTAGGGTGTAGGGCAGGTAGGGTGTTTTCGGTATTGAGATTGATAATGCTGAATGTCTTTTAGTTTGAAGAAAATTATAGACTTTTAGGAGAATTAGAAGATATGTTTTTTTTATATATATACTTACGGGAAGAAGTAGTTAACGTAATAAAATTAACACAAATCTATACTCACTCAGTAATTAATCCAGTCAATTTCTTATGATTATTTTCATGTTTCTTAATGTGCTTCCTGTAATATGCTAGTGAATTGAAACCACCTCGATACGGTATACGATTTTCACTTCGCAAAACCTTAAAAGTTAAACACATCGATGTACTACATGTTATTATACATAAGTATAGAATTGTTATCAGTAAGAAGAATACTTTAACCATGTTTTTTTTCCTCATTATAAATATGTTGATGGAAGCAGTACAAACATATATACCAAAATGGAACAAAGAACGCTATTCTAGTCTTTAGTTATTAAAAAAACCTTATAATATTTTTGGTTGTTGAAAAAGTTGTTTTTGGGGTTTGTAGACGCGAAATTCACAGTTGATGAGTTATCTCTTTTTAATTATTACGCCGACCGCCACCGAAAATCTAGAATTACTTTTGTCGTCGTCGTGGCCTAAAGGATAAGACGTCCGGTGCATTCGTGTTGAGCGATGCACCGGTGTTTCGGATCCCAGGCGGGTACCAATTTTTCTAATGAAATACGTACTCAACAAATGTTCGCAATTGACTTCCACGGTGAAGGAATAGCATCGTGTAATAAAAACCAAACCCGCAAATTAATTTGCGTAATTACCGGTGGTAGGATCTCTTGTGAGTCCGCGCGGGTAGGTACCACCACCCTGCCTATTTATGCCGTGAAGCAGTAATGCGTTTCGGTTTGAAGGGTGGAGCAGCCGTTGTAACTATACTTGAGATCTTAGAGCTGATGGTGTATGTATATCTCAAGGTGGGTGGCGCATTTACGTTGTAGATGTCTATGGGTTCCAGTAACAAATTAACACCAGGTGGGCTGTGAGCTTGTCCACCCATCTAAGCAATAAATAAAAAAAAAAGACTTCGTTCATTCACAGTGCGATTAAAGAAAACTATTTTTCATGTACTGTCTAGCATCTCTCCACGCTGTGTCCTGACAGTTATGTCACGAGCATGTTTGATGAGAGTAAGAGCAAGGAAATGTTTCACTATATTATTGGCTTTGCTGATCTCCATGAGCAACAGAAACCACTCACCATGAGAAGGGTTTTTGGTTTGTCTGTCTAAAAGCTAATAAAAATATTCACTTCAACGTTGTTCTGTAAGTGGTGTATTGAGATTAATTTAACATAGGCTTAGGTTAACATTTGTTTTATTGAACTGAACAATTAATCATATATGTACGAAGAAGATATAATGCGTATGTATTATGTGGTCTGAAATACTCACGTTAGCTGCAGACTCGGGATCATAAACCATCAGTAATGTGTTTCTGGCAAAGAGCGGATCAAGTTTGACTATAGGTCCGTACAATTTGAATAGTTTTGCTGAGAAATCTTTAGTGTCCGGAGTGTAGAGTGAACCTAAAAACAGATTTATTTTTAAAGTAGATGTAGTTAGAGTCGACGAGATATATTGACAACTTAGAATTAAAGCTCCGAAATTTTAAAGACATGTCGATCTCTCGTTTATTAGACACTACTAGCGACCCGCCCTCGCTTCGCTTCGGAAACTGTAATTTATTATTGATTTCTCCATTGTTTAATGGATGTTATTATACAAATAAACCTTCCTCTTCAATCACTCTATCTATTAAAAAAATCGCATCAAAATCCGTTGCGTAGTTTTGAAGATTTAAGCATACATAGGGACAGACAGATATAGGGACAGAGAAAGCGACTTTGTTTTATACTATGTAGTGATGCTTCATGGATCATCGCAATCGAATCCCAAAAGCAGCGCATATGCGATGAAACACGAATCTATTTAGTACTAGAGGTCCCGCAGTAGTCGAAATTCGACTATAATTAATTGGAATTGTAAGTTTGTGTACTATTATGTTTGTATTTTATACTTCTATAATCACAAATTTCGCCAAGACTACACTATAAAAAATATTAACAAAGACAAACAATATTTAATTTTAATCTCAATTTGACAACAGACGTCAAGAACAAAAGTTTGACAATAAATAGTATGCATGCGTGTGTGCGTCAAATACATGGTATGTAGTGTGTGTAATGTTTTCTTTATTGATTTAATGTATCTTTTATGCATTATTTAAAAAAAAAATTAGCATTGTGCACTTCTTCTCTATATTCTTTATAAGTGTGGAAAATTTCATAGTCCTCCGTCCGCGCAATTTTCGTAAAAAGGGATACAAAGTTTTTGCTTCACGTATTAATATATAGATATATCGAGTAGTGAAGGTCTGTTTGGTTTAAGCGTTTGACGTTTTCCTTAACACGCGACATTTATATTTGCAATTAAAGCGTTTTTCATCGTTTGCCTGTTTCATCAACAGTACGATGTTTTTAATTGAACTACTTACAATTCAGCTTATTCCATTGAAATATCCGAAGAAGTTTTTTTGTTATGATATTTTTTTCCAAATTTAATAGTTTACCTGTAAAGTTGTAAAAATGTCGCTTATATCAAACAGCCTTTTACCCCTCCATGTGTATATGAAGTCAATATTGTGTATATGTGTTCCTTATATACTTCGAAACGGTTAGACCGATTAAGATGAAATTCTACTACAATAAAATTATACTAGCGGATGATCCTGTGAAGAATGGTGGTGATTGAATCAAAATCAAATCATAGATCGGCCAGGCCGGTTTAGGTTAGAGTTTAGGTTTTGAGTCGCTTAAGAGAAATACACCGATGATATTTTAATTCGAGTGTGATAATAGTAATGTTTTCGTTTCTACATTCGTTATAAGCATCCGTTGAACTATAACACTTACTCTATACACACTATAACTTTACAATATTATTATTGCGATTAGAAGAGAATCGAGATCGCTCGAGAAGTGCAACGCCATCTATTATCAAATAGCGGAAACACATATTGAAACCACTCGACTGGTCAGGAATGTTCTCGATAATTCTAGGGATATCGTATCGACTATAAAAGTGTTACAGAGATGACACGGAGGCAGTTAGTAATCGGATCTACTCGAAGCGAAACAGCGAACGGTTCACCAGAAGCGAAGCGGAAGAAGCGAATTACGAATTGTAAAATGTTCTGTGAGTGTTTTAAGTGTTAAATAAAGTTTCAATTTGTACTTCGGTAGAATTTTTATTAATTAGTCAGTTACTCGAGACCCCTTATGGGGCGCGGATTGAGCTTTAGGGCAATCCCACTGCTCGGGTTGTAGGCTTCTTTTCTCGCTAGTTATGAATGATGTATTTGCTGGAATTATATAAAAAATGTTGGCATTGTTGTGGGGACGGAATATTGATCCGAGGCTGCGAGTACTCCTGCGCTGAAAGTCTAAACACCCGTGCTCTTTTATCTCTAGCGAAGATAATATATAAAGTGTGAAAGTAATTAACTGATCTGAACTAACCTCCCGGAATGAAATGTAGTAAAGGTCCAATGAGGGGCAATGATGAAGGGCCAGGTATTTCATGGAAGGGCTTTAAGTTTGTGACGTCAACGTTTTCTGATGTACTGACTGTTGCTTGATATCTGGAAGTTTATATTTTACGTATTTAAAGTAAGTAAATATATTATGCCACTTGAGACTTACTTAAATCTCATGTCTCATATGGTGGCATTCATGTTGTGATCGATTGGCTCCGGTAATCACTTAAAAGGGCTAAGAGCGAGCTCTTTCATCCGTCGAAGCAATAAAAAAAAATATTTATTTTAAGTTGGTAAACGAATGATTTGATAATGATGTCACACTTTTGGAGATAAAAGTTATTAATTAAAACCCTGGCATTAAATTAAATTTTGAAAAAAGAAAAAAAAAATTATGAATAAAATATATAGACCTATCATATTTATTGTTCAGTCCACAGACATCCCATAGGATACGTTTAGGCTGATAGGCTTCCTCAAGCTTCATCACAACGACTGGTCCTGGGCTGCCTACGTCCAGAGTAACGACCAAAATACCAATAAATTTGTATAAAATATTATCGAGCAAGATCGAAGGAAAGTCACTTGGAAAGAAAAAAAAGTAATGATATATAATGTATGTCTGATAGTTATGTGTTAGATTTTTTAATTACTAACATAGATTATAATATAAGTAATTGTTATTAACAAAATGTTATGGTTTGCTTAAAAAAAAAAACTGAAATAAAGTATAAATAAATAAATTAACTGAAATTAAAAAAACAAAACATGCCGGATATAAGTTGAAATCCGGTTTTTTGTTTTGACGCCATATTTGTCTGGATCTTTACTTAAAAGTTTAGCCTGCTTTGAGACTAATTAAATTAAAATATTCAGTCACACATAGAGAACTTTCTCGTTATTTGACATTAGTTTCAATAGACAATAATATAATGATTAAGTTATGACAACATCTGTTAATACTAACAAAACATTAAAAGCGTAATTAAAATATAATATCCAACTCATAGCTTACCTCACGCCTTTTATTCGTATCCATATGGGATTCAAAGTTGATCTCAACTTCGGCGCATTCATGATAACACTGTTAATATTTACTTTAAAAATATTTTAAATTAATATTATTGTAAAAAGTATTCACACAATCGTCTTCGTAACAATGCAATCACAAACTGTTACATAAAATAGATTACGAACGCACGAAACATAATAATATTATCACTTCAAAATTCTTACAAATAATATTCGTTTTCGTATTACGCAATTTATAAACAAAACAACCAAATGTGTTCATAGTAATGTATTAGAACAAACTACGGTCGCTCATAATGTGTAGCGATTCCATATGTTTTTGACCTTGGTTTAATATTAGATATGTAGGTATATACGATTAAAAAATTCAACACCTACAAAATCAGCACGGTACCTGATATAAGATCCATTTACAGCCAAACTTTTTTTTGTTTTTATTTTTATTTATTTGTTTTAGAAATTTTAATTTTACTATAGAAATCAATTCAGTTATACAAAGACTTATGTATACATATGTACGAATTTTAACAGAAAAATTCTTGAACTGCTCGTATATTATAATTCTATTTGATTGATTTAAAATAATCGTTTTATTCAATGAAGACTGTTTATCTGAGTTCTATAAAATATATCGAAGTCCATTTTTTTCTAAATCAACTATCTGACCCGGCAAACGTTGTTTGCCATATAAATTATTTCTAGGAAAGATAAATAACCTAGATAACGATTGCAGTGCCCTCTGCCGGGCTGATTTGTGAATCTAAACCATCCAGGGTGTCACCCAAACGCATACAAAAAAATCATTCAATCGTCCAGCCGTTAGGAGGAGTTCAGTGACAAACACACGCACAGAAGAAATATATAGGTATATATAAAGATGGTGTCTTATAAAAATGCAGCAATGTGTTTAATTCTAAGATTTAAAGTCAATTGAATTTCGTAAATTACTGATTTGTCGTGTCTTAATAAAGAATATATGTAATATACTTGCATTTACATATACATATGTGATAAAAAAATGAATACGGGGCTTTCATTAAATGGGCTGGTACTTTAATTTGTTGGCCGATCTACACCAATGGTGTCAGTCAGAATCCATTTGAAAATTCGACTATACATATACAATGTATGTCATGGCGTTCTGGCTTCTATTCGGCTCTAGCAGCTTTAAGTGGCTCGTCGCCGTAATCTCGGCTATACACTAAAATCAACAAGAGAGACTGACCTAAGAATGAAATGTTGTCTTTAAAAAATAAACATGATTTGGTTTGCAATAGAACTAAGCGAGACGGCGATCAATAATCGTGTGGACCGAGCATAAAAATATGTAGATTTGACATTGAATAAGGTCATTTTTTTGTTAAATCTAATCTCTTTGAATGTCATTGATAACAAAAAACACGCGGGTAAATTATGTTTTACGTAGGTAAATACGTATAACTTATGTTCGTTCTTTCTTATCTATTTATATTATGATTTGCTTATTTCACTACTTTCAAAACGATAGCCAACTGAGACACTAATTTAAAGCAATGTAAATAAACTTTTCACTGGTGGTAGGACCTCTTGGGAGTCCGCACGGTTAGGTACCACCACCCCGCCTATTTCCGCCGTGAAGCAGTAATGCGTTTCGGTTCGAAGAGTGGGGCAGCCGTTGTAACTATACTGAGACCTTAGAACTTATATCTCAAGGTGGGTGGCGCATTTACGTTGTAGATGTCTATGGGCTCCAGTAACCACTTAACACCAGGTGGGCTGTGAGTTCGTCCACCCATCTAAGCAATAAAAAAAAAAAGTTTTGGTAATAACTACTGTCAATGACATTAAAATGATCTTTCAATTAAGTTTACAATATTGCAGTGTTAATGTTTTTGTAGAGGTTAATTACAAAAAAATAACTATAAACTCTATTACGAGTATTTACTTCTTTTTCTTAATTTATTTATTTAAGGTCGCTTTTTAACATCTAGGGTCATTAACGACCACAGTTTACAGTATCATTTTAAGTTACATTGGCTTCAACATCATACTAAATTATACAAATCAATGATCTTAACTTTTTTGTTTTCAAGATATTTGCCGAAAATATTGCATGATGCCTTATGGTAATTTTTATATCTGCATATTTTGATACATGCTGCGAATATTTTTAACATGATGACTTTTTTTTATTGCTTAGATGGGTGGACGAGCTCACAGCCCACCTGGTGTTAAGTGGTTACTGGAGCCCATAGACATCCACAACGTAAATGCGCCACCCATCTTGAGATATAAGTTCTTAGGTCTCAGTATTGTTACAACGGCTGCCAACAGAAACGGCAGGATGGTGGTACCTACCCGCGCGAACTCACAAGAGGTCCTACCACCAGTAATTACGCAAATTATAGTTTTGCAGGGTTCATTTTTATTACATGATGTTATTCCTTCACCGTGGAAGTCAATCGTGAACATGAATGTGTTGAGTACGTATTTCATTAGAAAAATTGGTACCCGCCTGAGATTCGAACACTGTTGCATCGCTCAACACGAATGCACCGGACGTCTTATCCGATAGGCCACGACGACTGCCGTGTAGGTCACCGGTGCCCTACGCGGGGCACGGAAGTAATTATGTCGATTTCGTTTACTAAGCGCCTGAACTGATTTACTTTGTCTTCTTTTCTTTGTTAATGTATGCTTTAGTGTTTTAGATCTCTTAAAAAGTTGGTGTCTCTTATTATAAGAACTTTGGTTTTATGAGGATTTGTTTTGATTAACGAGCAACACTTTTCAAAGTCTAATAGTATTTTTTCAGTGTGTAGTTTCGGGTTGATTTGTTCCTAGATTAGAATACGTTTCCTAAACTAATAAATAATAATATAATATAATAATAAATATAAAAATAAAATAATAAATAGTTTATATTGAATTAGTAAAAATTATTAACATACGGTAACCTATTCCGTAGATACCTATTTCTGTCGCGAAGTTTGTGCGCTCTTCCGTTCTACGCTATTACGCAAATTTATGAAATTTGATGCTTTAGTTTTTATTATATAATGTTATTCCATCATCGTGGAAGTTGCATTAGGAAAACTTAACAAAAACACTATTTTAATCAAAACACTTTTATTACTTTCGCTTTCAATCGTTTTGAAGGAATAGCGGAATTGATTTGGCGGCTTTTGCTACTTTCCATTGAATCGTGTGCCAATATTAAGTTTCGGCTCTAATTAGACTTTCTTTCTGACTAGCATGGATGTTGAACAGCTATAAACTAATTTCGTAATATTTCTTCTCAGTGGTTGAGTTCGTTCCAGAGGATCGTGGCCAACAGCTCCTGAGCTCTTGAGACCAGTTTGATGCACTCGTGCAAGGATCCGCCTGCATATTTGGTCGGTGGTCGTGGAACCCAGATAAGTCCTACTTATCTGGGTTCCACGGTATTCGCGCTACATTGGTATATATCCATGGGGGAGTGCTCTGAGGAATTGTTTGAGATGATCCCATCATCTCGTTTTTACTATCGCACCGCCCGCCATAGTAGAGCTCATCCATACTACCTGGAGCCACTGCATTCATCCACAGTGCTTTTCCAGAGGTCTTTTTTGCCACGTACCATCTGGCTTTTACCGAGCGCTATGACTTGTCGTTCTTCAAACGAGGCTTTTGGAGAGTACTCAACGGTAGGCAGCGGCTTGGCTCTGCCCCTGGTATTGCTGAAGTCCATGGGCGACGGTAGCCACTCACTATCGGGTGGGCCGTATGCTCGTCTGCCTACAAGGGCAATAAAAAATACATGTATATGTACATACATATCATAAAAAGAAAAGGAAGGTACACGGAAAAAACAACACAAAATGTACAAAATCAAGAAATTTTATTAAAATTAAGTTCAGTTTTGAGATACGCATTTGAATACTGATTCATTAAAGATCTTTGAATATAAAGTTAAAAGGTCCCTTGAAGTAATTGATGGAAGTCTGTTCGACTCTAGGGGATGACCCCGACCACTCGACTTGAAAATTTTCGACGATCTTCGACAAAAATGTTTCCACTTCTAATTCGGCGATGCGACGACCTAGAAATGCGTAAAATTTCAGCAGTTTAGTTTTATTAATGTTTTTATACATTTGAATTTAATTGGGCCTTTCATTTTATACATTTGAATTTCACAAACTTCGAAATGGACAATTGCGATTATTACGGGTGATAGGACCTCTTGTGAGTCCGTACAGGTAGGTATCACCGCCCTGCCCGTTTCTGTCGTGAAGTAGTAAAACGTTTCGGTTAGAAGGGTGGGGCAGCCGTTGTAACTATACTGAGAATTTAGAACTTATATCCCAAGCTGGGTGTCGCATTTTTGTCGTAGATGTCTATGGGCTCCAGTAACTACTTAACACCAGGTGGGCTGTAAGCTCGTCCACCCATTTAAGCAATAAAAAAAAGGCTTTTTACCTATACAGCTGCGAACACCGAAGCCGAACGGGGAATTCGCGAATGGATGCGCGTTCCCGTAATAAAGAGGATCGCTCTTGTTAGTCAACCAGCGTTCAGGAATGAACTCCGTCGGTCTTGGATAGTATTTCTCCATCATCGACAAATGTTGATGAGCAAATGCAATGTCGACCTAGAACAGGTGAAAACTCTAATTAATTAGACACCGGTTAAAAAAATTGATTTACATGCGATCCGATAATGGCCCACGTGCAAATCCTGGATAAAGGTTAGAAATGATGCCTGGGGCCAAGCATGGTTTGTAACGACTCTCCCAACCGCGCAAATGTTCATTACCGACTTCCACATTGAAGGAATACGACGTATAATAACATTCATATCAATAAAATCCATTAAATAGAAATTTGCTTAATTACTGGCTCTAGAATGTATTGCAATCCCGCTTATGTACAAACATCTTTCCTGTTTCTGTCGAAGACGAAGTCGTTAGTTAAGCTGCTATGTATACAGTCGAGACTTTCATATACCATATGTCTTGATGTGAGGTGACTGTGTGTGGTTACTCATCTATCTAGTTTATCATGCTTTTTGATAAAATCCTTAGGATTAGCGTAAATATTTACACATTACGTAGATTTGAAAATTGAAGAAAAGAAAAGAAAATCTATATATATATAAATGAATTTCTGTTCGTTAAAACTCGAGAACGGCTGGACCGATTTGGCTAATTTTGATCTTGAATTATTTGTGGAAGTCCAGAGAAGGTTTAAAAGGTAGATAAATATGAAAATGCTCGGAATTAAATAAAAATGACAATTTTGTTTTTTCTTTGATGTGTCCCCCGTCGGATGGATTCCTTTTGTTTGTTTTAAGTTTATTTTATACAAAAATTTAGGTCTTTTATTTATCGATTGAAGCACTACGAAGTCTGCCGGGTCAGCTAGTATTGTAATAAAAATAGCATACATTTTCTGGTATATGATATCCAAGAATATTGTACTCCTTTGTGGTGCGTCGCATGTTCCCGGACACGACTGGTAGTATTCTCATGGCCTCTTTGATGCAAGCCCTCAAGTATGATCTTTTACCGTTCTTCGACATCACTTCTTCCCTCAACTTCTGCTGTTTGTCCTGATTTATCGCCATAAGGTACAAAGTTGCGGACATCGTGTTTGAAGTCTGTAAAATTTCATTTTAGGGTGCCTTTTCGATCTGAAGTGTTCTTTTTATTTACAAACAAAAGAATAAGTTAGAATATAAGTAAGTAAATCGAAAGAGGATGTTTAAAATTGTGTCTTGTATTGATTTTTAGTGTCGGTAAGCATTTTGGTAATTACTATGAGGATATTTCAGATATTTTCTTAAAGCGAAAGACATTCACAGCTTAGAGATGTCATCATCATCAGCCTATATCAGTCCACTGCTGGACATAGGCCTATTCGATTGCTCGACAATGAGCACGATTCTCGGCTTTCCCATCCAATTCCTATCAGCCACCCTGGACAAATCATCACTCCACCGAGCCTGAGGGCGTCCTGTACTGCGTTTGCCAATTCGCGGTCTCCACTCAAGAACGAGTTAGAGATCTACTATCCCATTATGTGGCCGGCAAGAAGTGGATAAGGAGAGCCGTAGACCGGGCTCAGTGGTGTGTATTGGGAGAGGCCTATGTCCAGCAGTGGACGACTGTGGGCTGTTGTTGATGATGATGATGATGAATATGTTGTTCGTTCAACAATAAAATATGAACTAACGGTATCGACACCAGCCACCAGCATGTCTGAAGCCATAATGTACGCGTATTCTTCATTGATGTCCAATAATTTCTCGAGCACCGGCTTCTCATCATCCGATTTCGATTTGTTCATTTTAATATCGTCTAGTGCTTTCTTGATGAAATATTTCGTTAAACTGAAATAATATTAAACGAGTTTTAAAGATATTTTTTTTGTAGTTAAGCTGGGCTGCAGAATATGTTAGAGGAAGTGGCGACAGAGAAATTGAGGAGTGCGCGTTTGGGATGGTATGGACATGTGATGAGACGAAATGAAAATGAGGTTGGTAAGATAATGTTAACTATGAATGTGGGAGGATATAGAGTAAGAGGTAGACCTAAGAAGAAATTGATTGATTGCGTGAAAGACGATATGGGTAAGAGGGGAGTGAGCGAAGAAATGGTATATGATAGAAGAGTATGGAAGGAGAAAACGTGTTCGGCCGACCCCAGGTAACTGGGAGAAGGGCAGGATAATGATGATGAAGCTGGGCTGCAGACTGATCCGTTTCCAATCGGCTAACTCAGAGGTCGAATTTCTCGTTCGTATATAGTGACTATTTTAGATGGAAGTCTATCGATTCCGCACAAGTTAATTCCCGTACCGACCTGAAGAGTGGGTTGAGATTTCGATCACACTTCTCAAGGTGAGTGACGGTATTTATTTCGTGATGTCTATAGTCGCTGGTTACCTCTTAAAACTAGGGGGGCCGTGAATACGTCCGCTTGCTAGAGCAAAAAAAGTACAGATCATTCAATTACATTTCACTATATAGCTATAAAAAACGTTAATCGATAATAATATCTAATTGTTTTCATGGTAATGACATAATATAACGATGTCCATTTAAAATAGTTCAAACTTTCAAACTACTACTTACTAACTTTACAAGACATTTGAAAAAAACTGATTTAATATTAAAATAAGACGAATGAGTGTTTTGTAATTTCTTTGAATTCCTATGAATTCTGTATAGCATGTTATAGATTATTAATTTAATATTAACATGATATGTGTTCACGAGAGACCATGTTTGCATTGCGTGATTATATCATTCATGTTGCTGACTAAATAAAGCTCAGTTGTAATGTGTTAAAAATTCCGTGACGATTTTCAATCTCTGATTCTTTATGCGATTAGGGAATGCTACAAGCAAAAATAAAATAAGATATTATTTACACGCTTAAATAGCTAATCGAACTAACAATTTATATCAAATTTTTTATTAAGTTGTTACTCTAAGGTATATTTCTCTTTGGCATGAGATAGTTTTTGATACGACTTACTTTTCTTGTTCTTCATACATTTTCATAGTTTTCCTGAATAGCGGTGTTGAAACATACGTCCAAATACTGGGTTTGAGGTCCAATTCGTTCGATAACACGAACATCTGATGGACACATTCGATCAATCTCTTGACGGGGGAGTCGTCCTGAAGATTTGAATCGAAGCAGTTGAGCCGGTTTCCTAAAGCCACAACCCCTATTGATTCGAGAGACCAAAGATTCATCTCTTGATCGAATTGACCACGTATCCTGTTGTTTTCATCTCTAAGAGACCTAAGCCTGTAACCAAATCCAGTCATGTAATTTTTTATCAGATCAGTAAAAAAACGATTTTTATTTTTTTATTAAGCTTCGTGATTCAATGAGTTCAAGAACCGAAATAAATGAAGAAATAAAATTATCATTGGAGTCCATAGAAATCGCAATCTAAATGCCTACTATCCACCATTAGACATTAGGTTGAAGTCTCAATTGCTTATTCAGAGCAGCTTATACTTCCTCAATAAATGGGCTATTTAACACTGAAAGAATTTTTCAAATCGGACCAGTAGTTCCTAAGATTAGCGCGTTCAAACAAACAAACTCTTCAGCTTTATAATACTAGTATAGATTTCCTTGGGATCCATAGCATATCGTAGGCAGCACAAAGGGCGGTATACGCAGTCAAAGAACTAGTTACATTTTCCAATAAACGACTAACAAATACTCGCACGCTGTCTTAGACAAAACATCCTTGGTCCGTGGCTGTGTGAATACGCTACGTCCAAGTTCTTTAGTATATCATTATGTTTATCTATTATATAATAATTGACAATAATTGACATTAACGATGACAAGTCACACATGGCCATCTGGCCCCTAACTAAGATTCCCTGTATTATGGGAATTAGAGGCATATAGAGGTTTAAATACATAGATATTTAATACCCAATAAAGAAACAAAGAACACTTGTTCATTACACACACGAATGTTTGCCCGATGTGGGAATCGAGCCCATGACCCTCAGCCTAGTAGTATGGGGTGCTAAGTACAGCACTAGCGACTCAGTCAATAATGATAGTAGAATAATTTATTAACTGCGAGACGTGGTACTATCTATTACATTTGGATGTCTGTTCACGTGAATGAAGATGGTTTCGTAAATGTATTTAGATGTTTTCGTAGCATCACTATATAAGATATTTAATAAAGTATTATTTTTTATTTAGTGTCCTTTAGTGACACGCGACACGGTGAGTGGTCACTATTGCTAATGGATATCTACATTTTAAGGTTCAAAGCGGGTTGTTGTCGTTAAAAATCGCTTTTCTCTAGAGTTAGCTATTACATAATTCAATGTCTAACCTCTCGACCATGTCGGTGGCTACCTCTTCTAGTGCTGAGCTGTATAGTCTTATAGTTTTCGGCTGTAATAAGACTGGATTCACCGCTGAACGAAAGCTCTTCCATAACTCGCCGTGGCTGTGAAAGATAGTTCGTGGGAGTAAGTAGTTGAGAGTATAATATCAATTTAATGTAATATATATCACTATTCCGAACATTTACAAGATATTTGAAAAAAACTGATTTATAATATCTTATACCTTTAAACGAGCAATTCTTGTATATATATTCTGAATCTCGGAAAAGGCTCCAACGATTTTCATAAAATTTAGTATACAGAGGATTTCGGGGGCGATAAATCGATCTAGCTACGATTTATTTTCAGAAAATGTTGTTTTATTCGTGTTTTCAATAATCAACTTTATCGATAATCAACTTTATGACTCTTCCCGACATCTATTGGCGAATAATAATGCTATTTTTCTTAACTGAGAGCAACTAACTGCTTTAATGACACAACAAGATGGCGTTATCAAAAAAAAAAACTATACTAAAAATAAAATAAAGCAAAGCTCGGTCATCATCTAGTAATAGTATAAGACGATGAGTGTTTTGTAATTTCTTTGAATTCATATGAATTCTGGATAGCACGTTGTAGATTATTAATTTAATATTAACAAGATGAGTGTTAACGAGAGACCATTATGAAAAAACATTAAAAATATTTGCGTGATTTTATCATTCATGTTGCTGACTAAATAAATAATCAGTTGTATTTTGTTAAAAATTCGGTGACGATTTTCAATCTCTGTTTCTTTATGCGATTAGGGAATGCTACAAGCAAAAATAAAATGAGACATTATCTACACGCTTAAATAGCTAATCGAACTAACAATTTATAATCAACATTTTTATTAAGTTGTTACTATACAAGATATTAGAGCGAAGTTATACTGTAAAACTATTTTATTATCAGCGATTCTTGATGCGCGTGTAAATTTTCAAGTAAATTGTCCGTTTTGAAGTCAGCGACAAAGGCTTTCAAATATTCCGTTATATATAAACAAATATATATATTTTTTTATTGCTTATATGGGTGGACGAGCTCACAGCCCACCTGGTGTTAAGTGGTTACCAGAGCCCATAGACATCTACAGCGTAAATGCGCACCGTCCTTATACATACACAGCAACAGTATAGCTAATAATAGCTTCTTAATGAGAAATTGAGGTCAGTATACAACGAAGGGAAGAATTACTTGAAAAAGCCACTGATGTTAACTTACTCTGACACTAATCCAGTCGGTCTGTCTGTACGATCATTTTCCGATTTCTTATATTTCTGTCTATAATATGATAAGGATTTAAAACCGATCCTTATTGGCATGTTGTTCTCGTTACGTAAAATCTGAAAGCGAAAATTATAAAGAAAATGTATCGTAAATGCCTGATACGTTAATATTTAAATGATAGTAGTGAACTCGTTGAAGTATCAGAAAATTTAGTTAACTTAAGAGAGGTTCTTATTGTGACAGCATTTGTTTCCGTGTGGTCTTATTCATGTTGAACCGAAATATGGCCATCTGTATACTAGTACACATAATTTAAGTATCTATCATCTATGAGTATTTTGTTTAAAATCGACACGACAAAAATAAAAAAGGTTAGAATATTTATTTGATGGCATTTTGCCGGTTACATTTTCTATTTATCTCTCGATTTAAATCCCTTCATAAGAAATGGTTTCGAAGTCAGAAACAGTATTATATACAGTTTGATCTACCATTATTGGGAATACAATAGCATCGATCCAAAAAGAACAATGACCAAAGCAACGTAGCCCACTTGTGGAGACAGCAGGCAGGGTAGTTTGGAATAGAACCGACTGAGATCCGCTGTCATTCAAAAACTGGCGTTCGAATCTCCATAGAATATTAGAGTAGGTCAGCTTCAAGTCCACCGCAGCTGTCGGTCGGCAGGTAAGCGAAATATTGACTTGATGCCGCATCTTATCTTACTCGAGTACCTTAATATATCCAATACGCCGTACAATCATACTACGTTCCAATTTAAAGAGGGGGATAGTTATTATACTAATAGAATGAAGATTTCGACCTTTAATCTTGGTGGTGTAGTTTACATAAAGGTGACTAATGCCATAAGTTAGTTTAAGTATTATTAAGAGTAACGCCATCTGTCGTCGAATAGCAGAAACGAATACCAAAAGAACTAGTAAAATCGAGAACGCTCGAGAAGTGCAACGCCATCTATTATCAAATATCGGAAAGACATATCGAAACTACTCGATCTATTAGGAACGTTCTCGATAAAGTAGAGATGTCGTATCGACTATAAAATCGTTGCAGAGATGACACGAAGGCAGTTAGTAGGCGGTTCTACTCGAAGCGAAACAGCGAACGGGTCACCTAAACCGAAGCGGGAGAAGCGAAATTACGAATTGTTAAGTGCTCTCTCAGTATTCTAAGTGTTAAATAGAGTTTTAATTTGTACTTCGGTGAAAGTTTTATTTATCCCGAACTCAGCGCGTAGCAGTATCATGAAATTTATGAGCTCCTCTGGTCATCGCCTTTTTCTGGATTTCTGGTGGCTCGACTAACTGATTCATCAGAGACGTTTTGGAGTAGCTATATAAAAAGCCAATAATATGAGACCTAAAATCTATGACCTTGGCGAGGTCACCTAACCATACAGGCGACGCAAAAAAAACAATTTAATCATTGCTTATCGACTTACTCCGTTATCTGTATATTCTCTTGTATTTGTTATTTGAATGTCGTTAAGTGTATGTGAAAATAAATAAACTTCGTTCTTAATTTTTATTGTCAATATGGTTATATTATAAGTAACTATATGTATTAAATACTATAAAAGCCTCAGCTAAGCTTTTGCTTCATAATATACTAGCGACCCGCCCTCGCTTCGCTTCAGAAACTGTGATTTATTATTGATTTCTCCACTATTTAATGGATGTTATTATACATATAAACCTTCCTCTTTAATCACTTTATCTATTAAAAAAACCTGCATTAAATTCCGTTGCGTAGTTTTAAAGATTTAAGCGTACATAGGGATATAGGGACAGAGAACGCGACTTTGTTTTATACTATGTAGTGATTGATTCTGTATCTAATAAAACTATGTTTTTGTTAAATGATGAAACGATTATTATATATTACTACAAGTACACGCAACTTGTCCAAATTGTAACTTTAGTATGTAGCCTGTTACTTTTTGTTTCTAATTGTAACAACGAGTGTTTTTTATTATTTTGAAACAAGTTTGAAGTAAAGAAGCATTAATTAATATTACACTTACGATTCCGGCGCTTTCTGCATCATACAGTAATACAATAGCGTCCTTAGAAAACATTGAATCGATTCTAACGATAGGTCCGTATATGTCGTACAGTTTGTGAGTCAGTTCAGTGCTGTTAATGTTGTGAAGGGATCCTGGAAGTCGAATGAATTAAGTGTTAATACGCTACGATCACGTGCATGATTTTCCATAATTTTGATAGATTAGCTGCACACGTTATATTACGTAAATACGGACTACTTAGTAGGGAGGTAAACAGCCTAAAATGAATACACTGTATGGCCGAGTACGCTTAAAGTTGAACTAAAATGTTTATTCATATTTTACGCTGGTGGTAAGGTATCTTGTGAGCCTGTACGGGTGGGAATCATGCTCCGTCTCTTTCGGTACTATGGAAGCACATTTGAGTTTGAAGGGTGGGTCAGCCGATGTACTATAAAATTAAAATTACGAACTCGTGTCTTCTCCACTTCAAGAAGACGGCACGACATGAAAACCCTCTTGTCGTGGCCGCCGGAAATTACATACCCGATCCTGTGGACCGAAAGGTAAACAGTCGACGTCGCCCTAAACACGTCATTACAGATCCTGCCGATCCATTAACGGTGCTTTGCTTTTAGGTACCACAAGCACCAGTCACCGTCCTCGTCGAACCCGTCGCTTGCGACGAAGGGCTCGACGAGTGAATTAATCTATAGACACACCGCACTGAGTTTCTCACCGGATCTTCTCAGTGGGTCCCGTTTCCGATCCGGTGGTAGATTCTGCGAAGCACTGCTCTTGCTAGGGCCAGTGTTAGCAACACTCCTGGTTTGAGCTCCGTGAGCTCACCTACACGTCAAGGAGAAGCTGAAATAGCCTCTAAAGGTTACCAGCATAGGTAGATAAAAAAACGTGTATAAAAGTTGGTGGTATTTATGTTGTTGATTTCTATGGACTACGGGAACCCAGGTAGGCCGTGAGCTCGTCTACCCATCTAAGTATAGGATGTCTTCGTTTTTTGGCTACACTTGCTAGAGCACTGCTGAAGTATTTTTCTAAATGGAAGTAAGAAGAATATTTAAAGGTCGAGTTTTTGTATTCCATTCTCATCTATCAGCCGTCATCTCCACAACACTCACTCCTCTTGCTCTCATATCGTCATTCACACAGTCCATCCATGTCGTCTTCGGTCGACCTCTTCTCCATTTACCTTGTACTATCATTTCCATACATCTCCTAGTCACATGGATCTCCTCTCTACGCATCACATGTCCATACCACGCTAACCGTCCGCTCTTTAATTTATCAATCATTTATTCGCACTCTTCCTCTAATATACTAATACCTTATCTTGTCCATATAACGTACAAGAATACTGTAATAGTTTTATGAAACAAAGAATTAAAATTAATAAACGAACCATTAACGTTGAACTTGGGTTCCGGAATTATACATACGACATAAAAAAGTATACTCAGACAAATATCCAGTGTTGTGTGTAGTAGAACTGTTGTCTATACTAATATTATAAAAAGGAAAGATTTGTTTGTTTGTTTGTATTGAATAAGTTCGTGACATAGGCTATATATAATCCTTTTTGGAAAAAATTAGGGATCCTTACTAAAACTCCAATAATGGAACCAAAAGCGTAAAAAAATTACCTAAAACATTCTTTACATCGCGTGCCCTGCGAAAACTATTGATGATAGAATAAAATAATATACTACGACTTTGTAGAGCACATTATTATTCAGAAAAAGTGTTGCAACAGCATATGTGTAACTATTATAGTTGTGCCGCAATAAGTGTTCTTTTATTTAAAAAAAATAAAACAACGTCAAATATCGTTAAAATTTTTGTTAAAGACCCGAGCGGAGCCGGAGCGGGCCGCTAGTAGTTTATAGCCTTAATGGGCAGATGAGTATACGGCCTATAGGATGTTGAGTGATCACTGATGCTTATGAACATTAGCAATGCCGGGAGCAGGAATATTTCACACTGCGTTTGAAAAAGAACATGTCATGGCGCTCGGGAAAACCGTGGAGGAGAGTTCCAAAGTCGAATGGTACGTGGCAAAAGAGTATCTAGAAACAAACTATGACCGCAAATTTCTATGTATTATGGATGAACATAGCTCCGTCATATTTTCGAGAAACTTATCGATCAAATGGCTTAATGAGCTCGTATACATATTATTCGATTAGGAAGATATTTAAAAAATATATTAAGAGTTCATATTTGTGGTCTATGACGACAATAACGCTAATACGTTGTGTAGATAAAGCTGAGTTCAAAAATGGCGTCTTAATTTTTCTGTTTGTTTATTAATTATACCGGTTTTCTTGGATGTGATTGATAATTTATTAAGTTTACGACTACGCGCCGCCTTTAGTTATGTGAGTGATCAATCTGTATGCGCGTCAATGTAGGCTATTTTTTACGATGTTGCTAACACGCTAGCAAGAGTCGTGCTTCGCAGTCTAACACCGGATCGGAAACGCGACCCACTGAGAAGATCCGGCGAGAAACTCAGTGGGCTGTGTCTGTGAGTTAATTTACTCGCCGAGTCCTTCGCCACAAGCAACGGGTTCGACGAGAACGATGACCGGTGCTTGGGGTACCTAAAAGCACCGTTAGTGGATCGGGAGGATCCGAGGTGACGTGTTTTGGGCGACGTCGACTTTTTAACATTTGGTCCGCAGGATCGGCTATGTAGTTACCGGCGGTGACCATGAGAGGCCTCGCGTGTCGTGCCGCTTTATCGAAATGGCGCAGGTAGGCTATATGTAGCTAATGTAGCTACTGACCGCTACAACAAATAAAGGCCAATGAATGGATGTTAGTCCATTAGTCCTCTACGCGTTCTGAACTATTTTTTTGTGTGGGTGAGGAAACTTAGTACAGCTGTTTTTGGCTCTCGAAGGTTTCTGTCATGGCACCATCAGCGTCATTACCGTAGATGACATACAAGTGGTTTCAAGAATTCTATGTTTTTCATTTTTTTTAAATCCCTACCTATTCGCGGGTAGCCCAAGGTGCTATTCCAGCTAGACCTGAAGGGGTAGGTGAGCACACAGGTCCGAAAAAAATAGTCCCCTGCGGGTAGATACAACCATCTTTTTTTTATTTTTTTTATGGCTTAGATGGGTGGACGTGCTCACAGCCCACCTGGTGTTAAGTGGTTACTGAAGCCCATATACATCTACAACGTAAATGCGCCACCCACCTTGAGATATCAGTTCTAAGGTCTCAGTATAGTTACAACGGCTGCCCCGCCCTTCAAACCGAAACGCAATACTGCTTCACGGCAGAAATAGGAAGGGTGGTGGTACCTACCCGCGCGAACTCAAGAGGTCCTACCTCCAGTAAAAAATCTAGATCTACATCTAGATTATACGCGTCGCGAAACATTCATGTTTTCCGGTTTAGACAAAGTACAATTTTTACTTCGAACTTCGATTTCATATTTTCAGATAGACGGCAAAATTGTAGATAATTTAAATACGATTGTGGAAACCGCTACTAATGTATTCGAATAGAATGAATTGATTAGCATGAAACAATACCTTTGTTATACTATGTATTTAAATTAATAATAATAATTAAAATATAATAAGAGATAAGATATCTCAATAAACTAATTATAATAATCATATTTTTTTCATATGACAACTTCAGATGTAGGTTATTTGTATGTTGTTTACTTCACTGTTATGCTGGATCATCTATATTAGTGATTGCATTGCATAACACTAATTTTCTATATTGACGAAAGTTTGATTTTTGCTTATTAATAATTTATTCGAATTCTAAAAGTAGATCTCACCGAATTCATATTCAGCAAAACTTAACCGATGATTCACTGAACCATTGATTAGGTTTTATGGTTATATGGTTCATAAATGATTATTGTACATCAAAATATTTTTGAGGGGCGTCCTAAAAGACTGGGACGAACTGCCTGAAAGAGGATATGCGAGGGAAGAATGTGTGTGCAGTATTCTGCCGATAGGCTAAGCTATGTATGATAGGCCTGAATGGAAATAGAGGACATGCTACGCCCACATAGTTTTTTTTCTTTCGTACATAACCTGATGGTCTTTAGAGCTCACGGGGCTCAAAACCTGACGTTGTTGCTAAAACGAACACTAGCAAGAGTCGTGCTTCGCAGAATCTACCACCGGATCGGGACCCACTGAGAAGATCCGGCGAGAAACTCAGTGGGCTGTGTTTGTGGGTTAATTTACTCACCTATCCTTCGTTGCAAGCGACCGGTTCGACGAGAACGATGACCGAAAAGGGTAGATCTTTTACGGAGCGGGTGATATTGTTCGGTAGACCGACGGTCCAGCCCCCCATAGTGGGATAAGGGTAGGAAGAAGATTAATGATTACTATACATTCATGGTGTCATTTCTATCTGACAAAATATTTTTTTAAACGGAAACATCCCGATCGGCCCTACGTCTGTGAAAAGTCTCGTTTCAATAATCAGCGCGGTCTACTGTTATGACAGCGTGAAATCTGTCATCTGCCTTGAGACATAAGGTTGAATTCGTAACAACGGATCGGGACGTAACCAGGCAGAATAGTATAAGCCTGTGTGTAAACAACAAGTGACATAGTCATATAGACCAGACGCATAATATATTTATTTTAAATCAGTTCATTTAAAAGAACATTACTACTCAAACAAATATGACAAACAGACATATGTCTTTATACAGTGTACTCACGTGTGTTCATAATCTGACACTTATGATAGACTAGACACTTATCATTCGATAGCTAGCCGCTGTTGTTTAACCTTGTGATGTCACTAATGTTTTTAATTTCAGCAAGCGTAAATATAAGTGAAATATCGATCAAGATTTGAAATTTGATTCATAGATATACATGGTTACTCTAATAATAGTCATGCATATGGTATAGATATGTATATGCATACATATAATTAGAAATATGGCATTCCCAGTCTTTGTTTTCTATCGAATTATTATATGTTATCATAATCTGTATTACGCAATAAAAATAACAATGTTTATTTAATGTGCTAAGTTCACGAACGTTTATTTCGTTTTGTGAGATCGCAAACACGTAGCTGTAATATGAGAACCAGAGAATAATATACATACATACTTACATACGCTTATGCATGTACATATATAAAACATTTCAAAGCAGCGGCTTGGCACTGCTTTTAGCATTATTGATGTCCGTGGGCGACGGTAGCCACCACCATCAGATGGATCGTAGGCTGGTCTGACTAGAAGGACAATAAACAATCTAGATTCAAAGCAAACAAATTTGTTTATCAGAAGATCATACGAACGTTTCGATTTTAGGGCCTAGCAGTTAATAACACTAACCACTGTGCCACCGACCCAGTCCAAATATATGTACATGTATAAATATATACAGTTATAGTAATATGTCAAAATATATTTTGATAAGCATTGTTATAACTTAAATAACTCTACAGAAGTTTTTGTATAAACTCTTGCGTGACTCGTTATTACAGAATCTGACATCCTCAATTATGAAAAAGAAAAAATGATTTGATTACGCTCTTTTTTATATCTGTCATTTGATTTAATAAGTTAATGATTTACCTCCGGGCATGAAGTGTAGAAACGGGCCCATGATCGGCAACGACGAGGGGCCCGGAATCTCTCGAAACGATTTAAATTCTGTTTGTTGTAGTTTATCTGTTGCCGCGCTAACTGTCACTGTTCTGCAACATTGTAAAATAATTGAATACTAGAGGTCCCGCAGTAGTCGAAATTCGACCATAATTAATTGGAATTGTAAGTTTGTACACTATTATGATTGTATTTTATACTTCTATAATCACAAATTTGGCCAAAGCTACACTATAAAAAATATTATTATAGACGAACAATATTTAATCTATTCTCAATTTGACCACAGACATCAACAACAAAAGTTTGACAATAAATAGTATGCATGCGTGTGTGCGTCAAATACATGGTATGTAGTGTGTGTAATGTTTTCTTTATTGATTTAATGTATCTTTTATCCATTATTTTAAAAAAATATTAGCATTGTGCACTTATTCTCTATATTCTCTATAACTGTGGAAAATTTCATACTCCTCCGTCCGCGCAATTTTCGTAAAAAGGGATACAAAGTTTTTGTTTCACGTATTAATGCAATTTCGAAAAGGGCACATCTCTGAAAATGTAAAATGTTCAGGAAATGAAAAAAAAAACTGATTATTTTCTAAAGCAGTGTAAAATTTAATATATTAACTTTTGAGATATATTTTGGTGTTAATTAGCAATTGAAAATTACTGGAATTATTATAAAATGGATGTAGGTAAGCCTCAAAACTACATGTATATGAAAAAACGTATTTGACAAAATATGCGACATGTGCCCTTTTCGAAATTGCATATTCAATTATGTTTATTTCTCACTTAATGTAATAACTGTGCTGTATCGAATTATTCTGAAAGTAATGTTCTTTTTTTTGGTAATACATATATAGTTAAGTTTAAATGTTCGGCTTTTTAGAGTATCCGAGTCGCTTTGTTCTACACGGACCTTAATTTAGTCTTAGTTATTTCTTGAATGACTATGGAAGTGGATGGGAAAGTAAAATTTACCGATATCTCAGATAGTATTATTCCCTAAAATTGGATATAGTAGTGTTGTGTTCTAAACTGGAGCTATGTTAGAAAATAGAAGGGAACATTAAAATTTAACTGTAACAAAAACTGTTTCATGATCTAGTGTTGCGTTTCAACTATACTTAATTGTAAATTTTTATTAATATTATTTATTATTAGTTTTATTAATATTGTAATAACAATTATTATTTAATTTCAGATATTTTCTGTTTTGCGTACGTAAATTTTATAGACAGCAACCAACACCATAATTTAGATAAAAAAATACAACATCAACATTAAGATGTGAGGGCAAATTCTGTGTAAATAATAAATGAAAATGGCCGGGCAATCTTTGAACCGGAACTAATGAATGATTTTTTTTAATACCTTCAAAGATATGAACACAGCATACGGTTCACCTAATCGGTAACTACTACAAAATACTAGTTATGCTAGAGCTTAGATAACAAGGATTTTTTTAAGCCTCATTTGAAGAAATACATGGAAGAAAGACATACAGCCCGGAAAAAATCGTAGAGGGGAAATTCGAATCCTTATGCTACATAGCAAAAGGTGATGACAGCATCATATCCAACAATTCTTCGCAGTACATACTCACAGTTCAATTACCTGTCAATCGTGTGTGTACCTACCAGTGTACTAAAAAAACAAATATATTGATGATGACAGATGTCACTCACCTCACACATTGCTGCAGACACGAGAAATTCAACACCGGTCTTAGTTTACTGTAATGCAGGGCTATTATCATGTTAATAACTGAAGGTCTATTTTATTTAACAAAAAAATAAATACACCTCAATCAAAACGCGTATCTCTGAGACGAATGACGCGCGCGAAACTATTTCTAAAAGTCAATTTTTATTTGATCACTATGCTTACATAAAAACTATGTATTGAATGAAGATAATACGAACAAAAATTTGATTTTTTTATTTATTTTATTCAATCAGAAATCCAGAAAAGCGTTACGACTATTTGAGCACAAATTGTATACTAACGCGATGTTCTATAATTACAATCACCTTGAGTTAACAAATATTGTGCGAACTACAACCACGGATCTTTTTATCGGAATTCGTTTGAATCGATACTTTATGCTGACGTGTTAGGTCTTATTATCTACAAAACTTAATACCGTTATTGTCTATCTTTTTTATCTTTGTTTTTGTTTGTATTATAACACGAGTGCCATAAGATAATTGTTAACACGATAGCAAATATCACTAAGGATAAATAAAATTAGTTTTAATTCCTGTTGTGTTTTTACTTTTAAATTAATAGTATTGATTTAATTAAAATTATGTTTACTGTTTTTTCTCGCCTTTGTTATTGTCACTGTATTATTGCCAACATTTCGGACAGTAATAATAACTGGGAATAAATCACACACGATTATTCAGCCCCAATTTATAGATAAACCTACTTATGTATGTTTTTAATTATACATGTATGGATAATAAACACCTAGACGAAGATCAAACAAATCTGTTCATCACACAATGTGTGCCCGATGCGGGAATTGAACCCACGACCCTCGGCTCAGCAGTCAGGGTGGCTAACCACTACACCATCGAGTCAGTCGTTACAGTTTTCGTGTTCATAGATGACCACGACAGATAATTGATATTGAAATTAATTGAAAAACGGAAACATGGGATTCGTCGATGTGAAATGGCAACTGTTACAAGGAATTATCAATTTATTTTAAGCTTTCGTTCAAAATGGCGATCTAATTAATGATGGGTTTATGAACACCAATAACAGGCAAACATGGACAAGAACAGTGTTAAATAAAATAATAAGGAAAAATGTGGAGGATGCCTGTCTATATCGATACTATACAACATTTAAACAAATTTTTTTACTGCCCTTGTAGACAGTTGTACTTGTAGTTTTTTTTACGCTGTACTTTTTTTTAAAGAATGAAGGATAACTAATGGCCCAGAGGCCTTTCCAGTTTCACCAGGACAGGTGGGCGACAAAGGCTCAGCCAGGAGGGAGAGATTTACTCACAGCTGGCCAAGCGCCTCAACCTGACAACTCAAGAGCAGCTGCTTTCCGAATGAATCTACTAACGGACCGGAATCGCGACCCGCTGAGGAGATCAGGCGAGAAACTCAGCGGGCTGATGCATGGGTCGAGTTGGACGTTGAACTCGAGTTTGACGAGTACGGCTATCAGAGTCCCTAAGGCTACTTCTAGTGTTAGAGCCGAAGGCGTCTAAGGCGTTATTGGATGTGATGGATCCATAAGGTGATCGGAGCCATTAAACATCACAAAATGAGCTAGAACACTGCGACCTAGATATCAAATTTATAACAACTTGGATGAGATAGCGGGTCTCGCCTAGTTTCTTATGTGAACGCTCAAACAAAAATGATACAAACAGCAGATGTGGCCAATATTACATTGCGCAAACACTCAACGACAGATCGCGGAAACACTTTGATTTATACGTCATATTTTCGACCAACAAAATTGAGTTAAAAGTTAGCCAAATTACCGAATTCAAAGGTCCCCGTGTCAAGTATACTTCGTTAGAACGAACATTTTATTAGTGTTGCTCCCCCGACTCGGTAAATTCATCGTGACTTATTTCTTTGGAAATATTTGCGTTCGTTCTAAAAACAAGGTTGTACTTGACGAAGGAAAATATGTTTCGTTTTTGAAGTACACTAATTTCTTGATCTATTGGATTAATAGATGTGGAAATTTCGGTTATTTTTCAAAGTGTCGAAATAATTAATAATTTTAGAAACTGCTTGTAGTTTAATAAAATCGGTCTAAAGATCTAGTCGCTTAATGAAAGATTACGATTAATACTTCTATGTTCTGTAGGTGTATTACTATTACTATTCTTTTTTTTGTAGCCCCTTATTTTTTTGTTACATTTGAGAGTTCGATTTTGCGTTTTGCTTCAAAAAATCCGCGGGCTCCGACTATCGCTTCATCAGTACAGGGTGTGAGTTCCAAAGTCTATTTCAGCTAAATAATACGCGTTGTGATCGATAGAACCCCAATTGAATTAAATTTTTCGATAGGTAGGCCTATTTCTGAATTAATTCAAAATGTTTTAAGTTAATAGTATATGTAACGGAACATACATCGTTTTGAAGTTTAACTTAAAAATAAAAAATATAGGAATGGGCTATATTTAATGAGTTCGTACTTATTAAGTTTAGTATTAGCCATTTAAAAGTTACGTCATTTACCTTCGAGACTTATCATCGAAAACAGATAGATCGTAATATTAACATTATTATGTTTTTATCGTGAATGATATTAATTTATAAGTTTCCCGATAGCATAAAAAAGCAGTCATGCGTTCTGATATGAAGGATGGGACACTCTTTTACAATTTAATTACGACTTTATGCCACAGTGTTAGTGTCTGTATTCACATATATGTTCTCTCTGGAATTCGTTAAAAACTAAATCATCTACGAAACTAGTGATAAAAAAATCAATTGATTGCATTATCCTCTTGTACTCTCTCATATCGTTGGGAAGCTCTCCATATGATAGGTAGGATTCATGAAGTTGCCTTTTTACAATACTTGCTATTTGAAAAGTAATATAACTATATTTTTGACTAGCAATAAATATTTATAAAAACTTTAACTCTCTGTATGCTAAATGGCACCTTTTTTTTCTACCTAATGTGAGAGTCTTGAGAGGCTATATCAGCGTAACTTTAACTAGTAGGTGAGCTTACGGGGCTCAAACCTGACGACGTTGCTAACACGAACCCTAGCAAGAGCCGTGTTTCGCAGAATCTACCACCGCATCGGAAACGTGACCCACTGAGAAGATCCGGCGAGAAACTCAGTGGGCTGTGTCTGAGGGTTAATTTACTCATCGAGCCCTTCGTCACAAGCGTCGAGTAAGTAAATACCTAATAATCACCCGACATTTCAAGACAATCTAATTTAAAGAATCTAAAAGAGTAAATTCTTTGATTTTCTTATGTATCCTTTTTATGGACGAAGATCCCGGATGATGATCCCGGAAGAAATTTCTTAGTACCCTAGATTCCACTCACCTTTAATGAAGATTTTGGAATATGAAGGGGCTTAATAAGAAAATTTGCATTTTTAAAGAAGGCTTGAAAATCCTTTGATACAATTCTATCTGCAAGTATTGCGTCCCTTTTTCGAATGAATTTTCTTATTTACAATCCATCTAAAGGATATTATATTCATGAGGCCTCGAGAATAATCCTCTTACTCGTATATTGATGACAAAATAACGCGATTGTTCAGAGGGAATAAATAATCACTGGACTCTTGTTCTTAATTATATTCAGTGTTGAGTTTCAGAGAGATTTAGTTTTTCATTTTCACAAAAAAATTTGAATGTTACCGGAGAGATTCATTTTCATTTTGGCCTAGATTTTGTTCCTTCCTTATGTAACTAGTCAGGTCATAAGTATAGTGTATTGTAATGAATAAACTTGTTTCAATTATTTTACATTAAACATGTGACAGAATTTATGACCTGACTAGGTATATAACAAAATATATCACAATTATTTAAAGAATGAGTCACTAAGTAACTTTAAATAGAAATGCAGACAATTTTGTTCGTAATTCTGTCAATGTTCTTTATCTGGGTTGTATAGCGAGAAACTATTCAGGTTATATTTGCTTTTTAAAAACTATTTTAAGTATTGAAAGCGCTGAATTTTGTCTTATTTGATTTTTTTATTTTTATTGCTTAGATGGGTGAACGAGCTCACAGCCCACCTGGTGTTAAGTGGTTACTGGAGCCCATGGACATCTACAACGTAAATGCGCCACCCACCTGAATGAAATCGCATAACTGTTTTCCAATTAAACGCCTGATGTAATTAAAGAGCAAATATAATTTCGTAAGCGTATGAATCATTTTTATTTTCAAAAGTGAAATCGTATGTAGGTCGACGGTTCTAAAATTATTTAGGGAATCTCAAGAATACACCATATACCTATTTGATATATTTTTCAACTACAATTAACCCCAAGTGAGTTTTGTTCAAAGACGCAGAAATACTTAAACATTTCGTCTTTTTCACATCTCGTATAATATCGTACATAATTCATGTGGCAAGTTACGGTAAATTAGTTTTATTTTTGTGTCACGTTGGTACGGCACGACTAGATGTCGAGGTACACGTGAAGAAAGTTTTTAACGAACGCTGTTTTGTGATAACGAGGAGCGACGAGGAAATCGAGGGAGATAAAGTTTGAAAAATAACGCGACACTAACAGCTGATGCCTTGGCTGTGTGTGAGTCGGGGCCGGGAAATGTATGCGCAAATATATGGAAATGTTTTGATGATTTCAATTTCCTTGTGTTTGCATTTGTTTTTTAGAATTCTGCTGTTAGGTATTTGTTATTATCAAAATATACTGATCTTAATCGGTTGTGAATTATATAATACGATCATATCCCGATCAATGACAATCTGACTCGTCGATTTTTTTTATTATGGATTTTATGACCTGGTAACTAAGACCTTTAAGTCATGTCTTTTTTTATGAAAAATGATAATATTATGGTGTGAAATTAAATGAAATGAAGATGATTAATTTGAGACATTAATCAACTGGGATGAAATAAAATAAAATGAGATGAGATGATATGGGATAAAATATAATCTCAGTAAAATGGTGGTCATTTACTGAGACTTTTTCAGTGGATTTTTTGGAGGATCCCGAGAAGTTACGTCCAGCGTCTTTGTTTCATTTTCCGACATTTGTGCACTTT